TCTTGCTTCCTATTTTCAGAATTAAATTGTAGAGTTGTTTTTAATTAATTTTAGAGTATCTGAAGTAGCTTTTCGTTCGTACAGTTTCGTATTGCTAATAATAATTTTCATTGAATTTAGCTTTAAAGTTAGTGTTGCGACATTATTTCATCGCGATTTCCAGTTTTACTTTTACTCTTAGTGTTGCGATAATGAATAATCGCGTTTCTTGACGTAGCGTTGCGTTTACAAAATGCCCAAATTCTTCCACTGAATTCGTGGAAAGCTGTTCCTGGTCCTGGATCACCTGATGCAGTTACAAAAGTTGTACAGAAGTAGTCATTCATCAGCAACCTCCAGCATGATTGCACTGAACGCGTCGCAATTAGTGTTGCGCATTTTTAAACATGAGTGCATAGATTAATAACGTCACGTACATATTTTCGGGAATTTTAGACATGACGAAGCACTCTTCGCGTTGGATTTTGAAAATTTTCTATTTCACAATTAGTGCTAGCGAATTAGTGTTGCGAAACAAGATACTCGGGTTTGTTGCTCGGGTTCGTAACATAATTGTACAGTAACCCTTCTGGTTATTCATCTACTTTTTTTTTTCTAAATGTCGGGACTGTTTTAGTGGTGTGGAATTTTTGTTTTAAGTTTCCTTAAACTACTAATCCAACAAATAAGTTTGTTACAGATTTATCAACTTCCAAATGCATGGATGGAAGATAGAATAACATGGACTATGGAATTTAGAGGGAATGATGCCTGGATCCTGTCGAATGGTAATTAAACATATCTTGTTAAATTTATTTCACAAATCTTTTTGACATCAACAAAAGAAGATTGCACGTAGAATACGTTAAATATAGAAAATTCTATGAAATATCTAAAACAGAATGCTCGTTATAAAAGTTAATGATTGAAGTAATGCGAGTTGATTGGCTGCGATCTAGGTGTTTGTGTAAATTTATTGTGTGTACATATCCATTAGATTAACGAAAAATAAATGATACATAGTTTTGGTATCTGGATAACTAATTTGTAACAGTATGGATACGCTTATTGAATTAAATGAATATTTCATAAGAATTTGTATTTTTCGTACAGAAATATTTTAGAAAGTTTAGGATTAATTATTTCTTCTACAATGATAATATCTGTAAATAAGAGGGTTGTTTTTCTTCTTCTCTTTAATTTTTCGCATATTATAAAATTTATGTAAGCTGATAGGTTCTTTAATATTTTATTAATAACTTTAGAATTTTAATTTACTATGTGAAAAGTAGCCATCGTAATACCGTAAATCATAGATAGAGCTCTTTTGATATATAATAGAATGATTTCCAGTTAGTTACTAGTTTCATGTTTCGGTATTGAAAATTTGACAGCACTGTAATTTTATAAATCTTATTTCTGGCGCGTTCACTAGATCAAATTCGAGCGTTTTACGTGATGTAGTTCCCCAATTCACCGTTGTTTAAACGTAGAGTGCGCTAAAAAACCAGTGATTTTTTACCATGTCGATATTTCAGATCCCCGGCGACGAAAATCCGTAAGGTGCTAGGTCTATTCATATATGTCTATGATTCAATGTAATTCGTGCGTTTGCCGCCATAGATGGCATGACGATTCAACTCTTTACATGATCGGTATTTCAGAACGTGACACATACCTCGTTTGTAGGTATACGTAATTTCATAAGGTGAGTGACAGCTGTGATGATAGATTTACTTTATCCTTCATCAAAATTCAGCTTCATTCAGTAAAATCAAAACTCAAATAAAAAATCAAATATTCCAGATTGTATTTTTCATTTTTGTAAATCTTCGATTTACATCGACATCGACTTTCCAATATTTTAATAATCTCCTGAAATTGTCGAAAATGTACGAAATTTGAAATTCCGGTGAAATCTTTTAAGTAAAAATCTTTTTGCAGAGGGAGAGAAGAGTAAAAGAGAAAGACGGAGAACCATCCTCGCGATCTTACCTCAGCGCCGATAATAAAATGGAAGCTTGAAGAAAAGCGATAGATGGATAGAGGAGGGAGCAAGAGGGATGATCTGAATCGTGGGCATAAAGCGAGGCGAAGGGATAAGGAAATGTAGAATGGGAACGCTAGGCGGAATCGCGCGAGTGGTAATCCCAAGTCGAAAGCTCGAACGACGCCAAAGTTAAATATAAATGTCGCGGTAAGCGGCTCCTGGACCGGCGAAGCAGCGGGTCGACTAGTCTCTTCGTGATCTTCGTCGTGGACCGAACTACGAAAAATCGAATCTGATCGATCTCCATCGATCGCACGCCACATTTTCCAGCACGATCCTCCTCGATCGTCGCGGTTCAGCTCGGTGCGGTTTCAAGAGTCGAGATTGTGGGACGCGAGACATATGCTGAATAAGAGTTCGAGGAAATCGTGCTTTGAACGAAAATCGATCGAATACACGCTCTGATAATATTGGAACCATCGCGATTATCCTGTGCTTTTTCCCCACTTGGGAGATCTACAATCTTTATACTGGATTTCGTTGATCGCTCCTGTCTGCGGTGCGACGTCTTTTCGGTATCGTTTTCACTTTTATTAATACTTTATTAATTGGTTCGAACGTTTGAAAGGTTTCGCTGGAATTTTGGATTTAATTAATTATTATTTGGATATTCAATAATTTGGATTTATTAATTTTCTTGTTGAGAAGCTTAAAGAATCCTTTAGATAATGATCTAATTTATCTAATAATTTAGTAACTATTTAAAAAATACTACCATTTTAATGTTGTAGTAAAGATTGTAAAATGTTATCGCATCAATTCTCCTTTAATAAAAATAAAAAAATTCTGTAGTGGTTGAAGTAGGTTCTTAGACTGCCGATCTAAAGGAAAGAATTGATTAGTGAAAGCAGGAAGTGTGACGCAACTGCAAACATTCCGAAAAGTTCCAACGAATTCTTTTGAAATCACCGTCGTGTCACCTCACGACGTCTAGAGCTTTGCATTAATCCTACTTTGTACCTGATTCGATCGAAACTTTCAAACATAATTGCTCATCGGGGTTAACCGATACGAGCAACCTGTGTCAGGAGCATCCGTTCAGAACGAAGACTATTTCTGTTCGTTAATTCGGCAGTAATTTTATTTTTGGACGCAGCATCTGAGGTCCAGGATCCAGCAAGCTAACATTGTACATAACCGCGGTGCCTCTTTCTCTCCTAGCACTTTCATTCATTTTTTTCAATATTTTAGCTTGAATTTCTTTCGACGTGTCTTCCTTGCCAATATTTATTAGCTTTGTCGTTACGTCAAGTACATTCTTTTATGTATTTTACATAAATCCCAGATAAAATATCAGGGTCTCATCTTTCTTTGACATCATAACTTCGATATGTATTTTTATCCAGTCTCAAAGAAAAGATCCGTGTGCACGTCATATCTAATCGAGTCGTCGAGTGGTACGTCGTATAAATAGAGCGTCAGTCGATCCCTCTATCGTCATTCAATGCTTTATTAAAATCGGTGGAACGAACTCGAACGTATGCTTGTTTGAACGCCGCGTCGAACATCTTCATTGTAATGGCGTTCGTGAACTTTAACAAGAACAAAATGGATGCATGTCTTTGACCAGGCGCGTTTGTTTCTTTTGAAGGGGGGCTCGGCGGGTTGGATCAATTTCCTTCGCTTCTCGTTTGCACATTTATTTTTACAACGCCGGAAATGGATCCGCGTTTAAAGTAATACGTGATCTAACGTAAAACGAATGTCGCGTCAAAAGGAAATAGCCGGAGTTTTCGAAATTGGGTCGTGATCATGATTTTTTTAAGTCGAAAATTTCCAAAAAGTTCCTAAAAATTAAAACGCGTGTAGCCAGATTTTTTTATTTCCTTCTTTCACTGATGAAACGATGTCTAAATCAATCGATGTCTAATCAATTATATGTCTCCTGATAAACGAAAAGTTTGTTACGCTCAACGATGGCGCCATGCATTATGTACGTACGCGTGTCACGACAATGCTAATTAGCAAGCGTTAATATTCACGTCATTTTCTGAAATATCTGACGTAGTCGTTGCAAATACATCTGTGTTGTCGGACACGTCTGTGGGCAGTGCTCTAATCGCTTTAAAATAGATTTGTCGTTATATTTAGTCGGCCTACACTCGATCCAGCCAAAAACCTTTAGACCTTCGACCTGTGGAACCACGTTACTCTAACTTCCTTATATTTCGATAATTCATCTTTGATATCTGCTCAATTTTATATATATCGTTCAAGAACTATTTGGACAATTTTTAAGAATTATTCATGTAGTAATTAGAATAACTGATATATAAATATTTAGACAAATCAATTTGATAAAGACTTTTCGTAAAGAAAGACTGTGATCTTAACGGTGCTTCATTTTAATAAGAAAAGGATCATTCGTTGTTGAATAAACACAGAATTTTATCAACAGGAAGACAAAAGATGGGAATAGCCTCGTTTAAATTCACATTGTGTACACTTCGCGCCTTTTCAGCATTGTGTAATGTCATGCATGGCGATTTGTCTGTTACACGTTTTTCACGCGCTAACGTGCAGAAGTCAGCGGGAAGTCAGACAATCGAACTGCCTATTTCGAGAGACTTTTGGACAATTGCCCATTCTAATCTGCCTACTCACTGCCACTACGCGACCCAGAGCTCGTTATATATCCAAGACACTTCAACTTCTACACGGTATCTCTTCAGTTTTAATCGACGTGACTTTATACACTTCTGAAAAGTTATATATACCCTCTCGATGAATTTTAACATACTTTACATCGTGTACAAGATGCTGCGTTCCATCGTGTGCAATTTCCTTTTGATTTCAAACAAAATAGCGACTCCTCTTTTACGAATCAGTTCTTCTCGGTAATTTATGGTAAATTCTAATATGAATTGAAATAGAGAAAGAAGGGAGTTTCAATGAAATGTATGTAATGTGCCCTTTCACAGCGATGCTAGGTGATCGAAGCGCGACACGTGGAGCTTCGAAATAGCTAAAGATGTCGCAGCCGCCGTCGAAACCTCATGGAAAACCAGGGCCAGGAGGCAGCTGGACAACCAGGCCGAACACGTCTGGCCAGTATAGGTCTCCTTCCCCTTTCAGTCCTACGAGCTCGCCTCATCCTCAACGAGCTCGAGGACCGCCAACTCCGGTTCATCATGCTCATCCTGCGTCCCCGTTGACGTATACTGGAATGAGGCACCCGATGAGCCCAGTACCGATTGGAATGCCGATTTCTCCTGGAATATCGCCTGTTTTCGGATCGCCCACTGGATATATACAGTGTCCAAGGCCCAGATGGCCGTCACCGATTCCAGTAGCAAGTCAAGCACCTAGGCCCTTTATACCGACGCAGGTATGTGACTTTTAAAATGATGGGATAAGCAGATATCGAGACGGTTGTAAATTACGAAGGGTAGAGATTTTTAGGAAACTTAATGAATACAGAACTGACTAACAGGACATATCGATTTTTGGAAAAATTAGTGATGTAGCAAAGGCTGGACTCTTCTTAGTAGATTTATTAGAATAAAATTTGTCTGAGTCTGATGAAAACTTTGAAAGCTATTGATTTATTGCCTAATATCTACCATTAAGAGTTAAAGGCATCAAAATGTAATTCCCTCGCATCGTAGAGGGTCTCGTATTGATCTTGAATTTGAAAGTAACAGAGAATGCAATGTCCATAGTATTTTCGGTACTTCCAGCAGTATTTTAGCTAATAGTATGCTTCGAGATAATAACAGATAATGTGCAATAGAGAATAATCGTCGAAACGTGAGATTCTGTAGAAGCAGTGAGATATACTTTATTTTTGGACTCATTAGTCATTGGTATAGACAGTAGTAGCAATCAGCGAACATATAGTTAGCTGCTAGCCGGCTAGTTTAACACGGACCACCGTACGAAATTGCTGATGAAACAGGAAACGTTGCATGTTAAATTATACTTGTGGCACAGAACACGCGTCAACTCCCTCGAAGAAGAGAAGTTCACGTGGCAGTAAAAGATTCAATATTCCTCTCAATCTTAACACGTGAAAAATCACCAAACGTTTATTTTCCATTTAACATTCGATTTTAGAATTCCGTGAATCTTTATAAATCATTCAACTCAAATTTCACATACTCACTTGTCTTAACTTAATGATCTTATGTTCTTGGTAGATAAGATTTCGATTTTTAGTTGCTCTTCATCCAACGTTCGATTTCTCGATTCTATGAAATTATTTAATTAAAATTACGCGAGTTCACTGGTCTCAACTAAGCGAGGCTTTGATTTATAGTTTCTCGTTTTCTATTCATTACTCAATTATTTCACTCAAAAGCTTGTCCTAATCTGCACAGTTCTAAATTAGGCTTTAGCTTCTCGATACTATCACAGAGTATTGGCTTTTTAGCTTTCTAGCGGTTTTACAACTCTTCGACATTATTTAATTAAAATTTATCTACTGGTTCTGCGTAGTTTCGAGCGTAGATTTAATTTTCAATTGACTGGTTGTTTAAATAGGGCTTTAGGATTGTGAAACAAACGTTCAAAGAAAATTCGCCACGTGGACTGTTCGTTTTTCACGCCCACGTGGTCTCGTGTCCGACTGGCCGAGACAACGGTATAAAATAGGGGCGCCTAAATAAAATGTAGGCCGCGACAAGTTTTAACGACCGGTTTTCCCAGACGCGTGCCAGGTGTGAATGCACTGCTGATGTGATCGAATCCATGTATATCCTTTCAACAAATGAAAAACAACAAATTATTTAGTATCTTGTTGTTCGCCGTGATCGAAAAGAAAAGTTAGACTCTAAAAGTGACTAGGAAAAATAATTACGGATTGTATAGTCAGATGTGGCTATGGAAAAATGATCGTTTAATTCCAAAATTATTAACGTGCAAGATACAAAACTTATATCAGAGAAATGGATATGAAGAAAGTACAAAAAAGTTTATAATACAATAACGAATGCAAGCTTTTATTCATACACGAAAAGTCAAGCAAATCTCTAAAATTGTGTCACAGTAAATCCACAAAATTTCTATGACAAGTTCCAAATTGATCATTTTGATCAGTCCGCTTGTTCTGCTATTAAACACGTCAGAATATAGTAGATGTATTGGTTGTGAAATGATCATGTGGTCATCATATCATTTATTAGATAGATAGAAAATGATTTTCTGCGAATTGTTTTATCATTTTCTTAACGATTAAGAAATAATCTCTCTCAGGAGCCTTTCTCAATTACTTCTTTCATATCAATTTTTCTAGCTTTTACTGTCAGTATGTATATTTTCGTTTTTTTTTGGTGCGTTTTGATAGAGTTCGGTGGAAAGTGGCACATCATCGCCCTTGCTCGGTGGTCCACCGGAATATTTGATTGGAACATATAAACCTGGCGAATACGAATATGTTGGAGTGCCACTGGATCACTCGCAAACGGAAGAGGAATCCAGCGGACCCAGTACCGCGGAAATAATAGCTAACCAAAGTCAGGATTACGTAGATGAGAAGCTTGCTGAGTATCAGGCTACGATACAGCAGCTTCAGAGTGAGTATCTCATCTCAGAAAGTGTACACATTTGCATGTTCTTGTACTGCTTTTAACAAAAATTCATGATTTAACAACTATTAGGAATTACTAAATTAACAAAACTGTAACGCGTAAAATCAGTGATGTGTAATTAAAATAAGTGTGTAATTAAATATTAACACCATAGGACTATATAATTAATATAGAATATAATTTATAATTTAAGAATATAAAGAAAATATAATTTATAAATAACGAGTTTTAAAAAAGATTATAACGTTCGAAATTGCCAAAATCAGTTTTTGTAAATATCATACCAACGAGTTTACCTCACTACAAAATATTTCAGTGGATTTAGTCTTAAATTAGAATTAGAACACAGAATACCTCGATGAAAATTCGTTCATTTTTATTAGCTATTTATTCGTTTCTATCGCCAAGAAATGTTATTTTTGTGCAATGTTGCAATTTTAACAGTGATTTAACTAAAAATCGACGTTACCAATACGTTTATATGATACTTCTGGCAACGATGAAATCAATGAACGTCTGTTTGCCAATTTAGAAACTCTGTTGAAGAAATGCTCTATTTAGAGATGAAGCCAAATCCATAAAGTTGATTAAGAACTATTAATGATCCATGTTTTCTGCGGTTGACGTTAAAAACTTGTTGTTTCCCGTAAATAAAATAATAGCGAGGAAATTGCTAATTTATTCAGGTAATTTTAGTATCTAGTATATATTCTATCTTTTGTAAATGGAGTTATGTATTGCACAGTATGATTCACCGTCTCTTCACAATCTTCTTTTTTATTGGACAAATGGATAGAATAGTTAGTTATTTGTTTTATTAATTCAAAGATATTCATTTACACGTGTTATCGTTTTTCACCTGTCCCTAAAACGATTTTGAACTCGAAAAACGATAAATATTTTGGCCAACATTTGCAAAATTTATGCACACGTTGAATGCAAGACGAATGGATTTTCGAGAAATGTTCTGTATATCCAATAGAAAGCATCGGAAATACAAAATCATCAAGATATTATCGAATTAAATCCCGCTAGTAAGAAAATCTCGATGAAATCTTAATACCAAAGTATGACAAACTATTAACCTCAAATACTAAAATATTAGACATTTAATTGAACTGAAGTTTCAGAATTATCACGAACTAAGAATAAATTGCATTTAACCGTGACGAAATTACATCTGAACGATTTAAAACTCAGTCTTAATCCTCTGGCACATTAGGCTTATTTCGTACCGGAACTATCGCAAAAAATTGGAAAAGAATGCAATTTGCATATGAATCGATCTGCGGATCGTCAGCTTGGATTAAATTCATAAAATTCTTGAAAAATCAAGGATCAATCGATATTCGCGTATTTGTGCCCCTGTATGCATGTGATTCGCATACTTCTCTGTTGAACCGTGCAGGAGAAATAGACAGCGATGGCTAGCCCCTATTTATAAGCGTGACGAGGCACCTGCCGTGGTCCGTTCATGATTGTCACTGCCTACTGACATTTCTCTGTCTTCTTTTCTCAAAATTCAAACCAACCACAGAATTCAGGAAAAAATTGGTCGATTTTGCAATAAATTGTAAATAATCGAGGAATACTGTCGATGTTTTTGTTTGAGATGTATTGTTTGTGATTTTGTTTAAAATGCACTTTGACGATTTATGAATGAAATTTGTACTTTCTCGTCGTGCTGGCATGCGATGTTTAGGTGACATTAGGTAATAATGTATTATATCGGAGTGTTTATTAACTTATTTTATTTCAGAGCAATTCAATAGATAGTAGTGATTTAATTTGTATTAATAGGTTTGAATTCTTTTCTGTTTGTTTAATCTACGGTTCAGTTCAAAAGTAGATTTTACTCATTTTTTTATTTATAATCACTGTGTAGAAGCATAGATTAAACTGTTCTACCTTAATTTCTTTTATCAAAACTTTGCTAGTTTCTGTGGAAAAGTTTCTGTAGTAATTCAGAATTTGTTACAGCAGTTTCTTTCGAAACGACTTATGATACTACAGACTATGTTAGATTGTGCTGCGTATTTAAATGAACCATATGCGTGTTCTTTTAATTTGTATTCCGAGTTGTGTCTAGTTCGTCGATTAGTCACCGTAACTATTCCTGAAACAATCTGTTGATTGGAGAAAGTTTATCAGCGTATACGATTCTCGTATCAAACATTTGTTTGTTTGTTGCTGATAGAGCGATACAATTCGCTGATACGTGCTTAATCAAGTGCTCAATACACAATTAAACGTAATCTTAGGTACATACGATTCTGATAATTGCAAACATGTTCCTGGAAGAAATGTTTCGTTCAGATCGAATTTAATATAGTAGACAACTTGATGTAAAGTATTACACGTATTTTACGTAAGAATCAATTATTTCACACAAAAAGGAATTTAAGCACGAAGAAAAGAGTTAATCATATTTAAATATAAAATATAATGAAATATAAATATAATAAAATAAAATAAAATATAATAAAAATAAAAATAAAAATATTTAAAAAGTTTAATGGTACGTGAGGGAATTTGATTTTTTATATTTCAAGTTTTATCGAACGAGGAAAATTAAGATAAAAAAAAAAAAACACTGAAGCATTGTGCAAACATGCGTGTCACGTAAAACTAATCAAAACGACACGACAGATTCGAAAATCATTCGACAAACGGAGCTCGCGATTCTCCCTATTTTGTTTACTAGAAACGATTATCATGTGCGTTACGCAATGACAATATGTATGTATATGGATAATGCGTCACTGTTTCGTAGAACGGCAAGTACTACTGATAAAACGCGTACCATTTCTTACGACGCGACGTTTCACTAACGATGTTATTCATTCTTTTTTTTTCTCAACTTTGTCACAGCTAGCTAAGCGCGAATTCTTCGAAATCCTATAAACTCTTACGTCGTTCTCTATTTTTAAATATTACGGCACGGTTTGGTTTTTCGTTGGTGGATACCTGTAATGGAACAAAAAACCGGTTCATATCAGGTTATCGATGTATCAGTGTTAAGCCAGGTTATGGTACATGTGCCATCGTCAAATATTTGCACGTTCGTGCTTCTTTGTAAGTTTGTTTATCGCTGATTAATAATATCCTTGAGATAATTAATCCTGCGTCTTCTTCGATTTCCTCTCGTTGTTGGAAACGCCTTTTCTCTCGTTGTTAGCGATTTATTTTCGTTCGTTTATCTGGAAATCAAAAAGAAAGGAGTCAACGTAAATTGTCGCACGCCTCGTCATCGAAGGAAATAGAATCGTTGCGATTCGTTAATAGCTTTAATGTTTCACGAACGACCGTCAAACAGCAACGTCACTTGCAAAAGCGCCAACAACATTTTTGGCAAGTGATAGCACGTATGAAACATCCGTTCATTATCGATTAACGTTAATCTAATCGTCCAACACATCTAAATAATGTGGATTACTTAGTAATGGAGATTAGGATCTTATATAACGAATGTAATAAATTTTTTTAAAATGATTTCACGTACGTGTAATAAATGCAAAATTATATAATTACCTTAAGCATATAAGGTTAACGAGCAAGAGCAGTATTTGTAACTGTTCTGCTGAGTTTGCCTCTGGAGCTTTGTTGCGGACTGTTTGGAAAATCATAGTTATGAATTAATGACTTTCTACGAGTAGGAAGATCTTTACGCATTGTCTGATAGCTAGTCTGTGAATGTTTTGTAAATCAATATTTAAAAAATGAATTTCTATACTATGGATATCGTGCAAAGAAATAAAATTCGTGTAACTGTATTATAAGGGATCTCTTTCCAATAAAAATATAGCTACGTTTTTATATATTACGCGTAATTGAAATCTTGTTGTACCTTGAGGCACAAGGACTCTCTCCCATAATTTCCCATAGTTACGTCACTTACCCTTCTTTTCCCTTGTTCGTCAATTAGTTCAAGTGCAAACGTACACCTACTTGCTGTAAATTCTGTTATAAAATATTAGGTGTTTTCTAAGAGAAAGAAAAGCTATCGAATGACAATTGTTTCGAAACACTTGAATTGTTTGAAAACAGTTAGCCTGATCTTAACAGTAAGGTGTGAAAGCAAATTATGTCGTTTCTCTAGGCAAATTTATTATCTATATAATTTTATTTCAAAAGAAACTTCTTATTAAAACATGTTGTTACAATTGAACACTATTAATAGCGTATAAAAATACGTATAAAACAATGTCTTTATTTTCTTCCAATTTCTCCAACTAAGAAGATTATCTATTTTTTTACAACCACTTACTATATTTATACGATTTACGTAAGTCCAATCATTCACGCAGAAACTTCCTCTTCGCACTTCGAAACCGCTCGACTTCTTTCCGTTTTCTGAGACTCCTATTGCAGTTCCAACGATTCCTAATTTTCTCAACGAACTTGTCTCATTCTCAGTACACGAATCGAAAAATGCATCTAAATCTGTGTCACACCGAGGATGCCAGGATTTTTTTTTTTTTTGGCAAGGAATACGTTCAAACGGTGGCGCGAGAAGTGACATTTAGCCGGCTGTGGAGGAGAAGGACGCAGGATAAAAGCACCGATCGATGTCGGCATCAGGAAGGTTAGACCAGAAAAGGCGGAGAGCGTGAGAGAGGAAAAGAGGAACACACAGAGTCGACGGCAGGGCGTCAACGACGGCGACGACGACGACGACGACGACGACGACGACGACGATTCGTACGTCGGCTTTGCGGTGCATAGGTTCGGGGCGTCATCGTCACTGACTTCGTCATCGCGCGCGTCCTCCTGTTCTGGTGGATGTCGCGTGGTATCGGTAGAGTCTGCTGGCCGGTGGCAGACGTCCTCGTGAGCGTGCAATGCGGATCGTAGGCAGGGAGAATGGAATGGCTGGGGGTATAGGAGGGCACGGAGGGCACAGAGCACGACGGAACGAGGTGGGGACCTGGCGAGAGGTCGGGAAGAGAGGCACCAATATCGAACCGGCGGCCGTGGTGCGCGGTCGGAGTGCATTCCGTGAACAGTAGACGCGTATCGCACATCAGACAGTCGCCACCAACAGGCGAACAATATGCATTCGTGTGTCGTTTTTCGTGTATACGAGGTAACCACGGCTAGGTAACGAGTAACCAAGTACATACATACATACGTTCGTACATACCGTACATACATACGGAAGAAATCGTGTGAGAGACGCGAGCGCGGAGACACGCGCCGCTAAAAGAAAGCGAAAAGAAGGAGAGAAGGCGACGTTTTTTCGCTTTGATCGGCGAGACGACGAAAGACGGGAGGCGCAGCGGTTGCTGCCGATGTACATACGTGGTAGTGAGCGAAGCAGGGTGTGGTGTGCGGAGAACAGGTGTCCACGAGCGCAGCTCGACCGTGAAACGAGCAGAAGCCGGAAACGTACGGGGCCGGTGCGCGTTCGCCAGGATGAATTTTCGGGCTGGCTAGCCCGCAGAGAATCCTCGCGTGAACATCATCGGCGAGAAACCTTGGTCATACAGCTTGGTGGTAGCTGGCGTGGTGGCGTATCATGTCAGAGACACCACCGAAGAGCACGAGTCCTGCCGGCAGCCGGGCCAGTTCCGGCAGCCCGAGCACGCCACGTGGAGGTCGACTTCGGGACAGAGTCAACTTCTTCGTCGAGCTGTTCGAGGACAAGGAGGCTAGGCGAAATGCTGGCGGACAATTTCGATCACCGACGAATCCTAGATCTTCTTCGCGGCCATCCTCTCGACCATCCTCCAGGGCCAGCGATTCGTCGTTCGAGGAAAGTTTCGAACGACTGGTAGAAGAGGGTGAATTGAACGGTTCGAAGGTGGTGAAGTTCGAGAAGATCACGGTGCGAAAGAGCGTGAGAGAGATCGGTACAGGTGGCGGCGTGCCTGGCTCTCAGCAACGAGGTTTACTTGCGGAAACGAGCAGAACACCGAGCGAGGAACACGCCCTCGAGGACTCGGCTTATCAGAGTCACAGCCACGGTGCACCGAACTACGGAAGTAAATCGAGCTCGGTCACGTCGTTCACGAGATTTCCATCGGAGGAGAGTTTGTCGCATAGGAGGGGCAGCGGTAGCCCTCAGCAGCATCTGGGTTTCGACGATCGAACACCTTCCGAATGGTACGCGGAATATCGCACTCAAAGCTTCCAGAATGTCGCCACCAGGATCGAATACGTACGCAGTAAGAGCGAGTACGATGCACACATCGCCGAGATTAAAGGTATCTTCTTTTGTTTCCTTGGCGAACATTTCGTTGTGATAGAGGGGGTTCAGTTAGGATAGAGGGGGTTGCTGTTGCGAGATGGGCTGCACCTTCAATGTGTGTTTTAATTGGATTTTTTATAGTAGAAAGAATTTTCGGAGAATTGTGAATAACCGCGATATATCATTGGATGGATTTACTGAATTTTTACAAAATTCCTGACTTATACTTAACATTTACTAAATTTATTCTAAAGACTAGATTTCCATTTGAATTAATTTCGAACGTTAATTTCATGCTACAAATAGATGTACAAGCTAACATGTCCCAAGGGGCATGAGAGAAACACTTAACCTGATAAGTTCGTGAGATCGCGCGATGATCATTCATTTGACGATAAGCGGACGTTAGGTCAATGTTAATTGAAGGATGGCCAAGCTGCTATTTGAGAGTATGGTGACTCGCAGTTGCTTAAGAAAATGAAGAAAACATTCTTGTTGAATTTATGTAACTCTGGGATCCTTTGTTCCCTCGAACACGACTTGTCATCGTGATTTACGCATTATATATTGTTGTAATAATAGAACTCACGCCAGATCTCTTTTCGAATTTCTTCGCGAAATCTCTCACCCAGTTTCTTCGGTTCGATGAGAAATAACAACTTCCACTCCCCTTCACGAACTCCGCGAGCCACTGTGTCGCGACTAGAAAGATCCCTGACTTTGTTTAGCACCGGTCAATACTGGGAACCTTGCATCAGATAACAGTAATAATAACAATAGGAACAAGGTAGCAACAATCGCGGAGAAAGAAAAAAAATAGAATTAGAAATATTTCGATGATCTTAGATATTTTCCTAGATATTTCTAGAAATTACGTAATTAATTATCGATTGTTCGTTCATTGTTCCATCTTGTTACTCGATGAGTTATCCTTCATTGCTTGGCGATGATAGTTGATTTAATTGATCTTCAATGGTGTCTTCCAGTTGGACGATCGATCTATTTGCACTTAAACGGGTTTAGTCGGTTCCCCAATAGTTGAACGCGACGCGACGGTTGATATCTTCCGGCGACGATGATCGATCGCTCGTGGAAATTAAAATAAAATTACGCGGTGACCTAGATCCACGCGGCGACACACGATGGCGATTCATTACTCATCCGCCTGAAAGGACGAACGCTGTGTGTCTAGGTCCTTTTTGCTCTTTTCCATGTTGACAGTCGACAGCCACGAAACGTGTGCCAATAAAAATCGATTTGACTGAATCTTTATCTACCGGATGCATCTCCGTATGCAAGAAATCAGTCTAATGGCAAATCTTGCTCGAACCAATTTTTCATCATTGAGACACGTGTCTCTATCATTGTGATCAATGTAAGCCAATAATTCAAAGCTAATCTAAGTCAAATTTTACGTAACCTAAATTTACATTAACCTAATCTTCTACGTATGTGTACGCAACCGAAGTGAATCCGAACTTAACTCAAATATAGTTTCAATGAAAATAGGCTTTATTGCTTCTTATTTCTTATTTTAATTACTAACGCGCGAATATAATTCCAAATCAAGCGCGATATCGATAACCCGAGTTCTAATTTCGTTTTCTCCCCTATTTTTAAATCGCGTCGAAGCTTCTCGCTTGGCAGATACGATGGAACGCGGACGAAGAACCACGGCGATCAATAGTTATTCGCCGTTGTTAAGTAGCATATTAGCAATTCCCTTAGAGGGAACTCGCGGAACTTTTCTTGGCGACGATACGCGTTCACGAGCAACCGGATTGTCTCCTACGAAACCATGGCGGACACGGAACGAAAGCGTGTCCCCGACGTAACGAGAACGTGAAATAATCGTCGATTAGATAAAGGGAAGAAGTTGTTAGCTGGTTCCACGTCTGGAACAGAAAATGCGAAATGCGGCAACAATTCACAATGTCCGGAAACTGATTGAATCAGTCGTTTGAAATTCGACAAAATATCCTTGTGATATTTTTAGGACCATGATTTTGTGCAATTTGACAGATTTATTTATAATTTTTAACAGTTGGAGTTATTGGAAAATTATCGAAGTGACCAATGCATGAAAATTTGAATAGATCTACGTTATTAAAATTTTACAAATTTTGCAGGTCGTTTGCAACTTGGCAAATTTATGTTTTTAACTTCAATAAAATAATTCTGATTCTTCGTGAAAATTTGTAGATTTACATGCGTGTGAAAAAATTTTTAGATGCATTTTGTTACGAATTTTCTTACGAATTTTGAAAAGTTTCTTGATGTCCTTTTTTTTCGTAAGAGATTTGCATTTTTTTTTTCATTTCTATGTCTTTGATACAAGTTCTGCATTATGGTCATTTCGTGTCGCTAATTCCAAAACATAAAGTGTATCAAATTACATTGTGTCACAGATACAAAATTACACTGGGCTTACTGCGTGCGTAAACGTTCTTTTCTGTTTTTCTGTCTAATTGTCATCGTTGATCGATAGTGTTAATTTGCGGTTCGCGCTTTATAATCGCATTGCCTACACTCGACACTTTGCATTACGTGGGACAAACTGGAAAGATCGGTTACCAACATTGCTTTCATGGCCACGGTCGGCACCATTGATATCAAAAATACATAACACGTTGTATGCGAAGAATACACTTATCTACAAACTTTCTCACGCTATATATTCGCACTTATAAAAAAAATATTTAAAAATATTTAAACGTAGACACTTAAAAATAAGGAAATCGTCAAATTAAACGTCACAATAATAAACGAGTATATATATAAAACTTTTGCCAAAGAAATTAAAATGAGAATGTATCGAAATAAAAATTTTGCAGTTTTACGAAACTCTCGCTGTCGTTTGACAAAATCTCCGAAAATGTAAATCTATGAAATTTCCACGAAGAATTACGAATTCTGTTAACACGGTCCAAATTAAGAAACTGAGATGCAGAGATAGTGTTCAATGATACAGAGATTGGATATTAAAAAGTCGACGTTTGCGGTCGCGGTATCGAGTAGCCATTGACTGGTTGCACTCCGTTTACGAAGCGCTACTCGTTATCTTGACCTAACAGGCTTTGTTTTATTTATTCGTAGCGAACAGTTCGTTGCCCTGTTTCTCGATCGACCAGCAAACGATTCACACACGGCGACTACCGTGACCAACGAACGCATGCTAGTACCTGTGCCAAAATGTATCCGTGTTTCTTCAAATTTGCGGCGATTTTGCTTTGAACATCTCATTCACTTGTCGCTCGAGTCGAAACGCGTTTCGTCAGAACTTTCCTGACAGCTTTGATCCACTTTTTTTTTCTCTTTTCTTTCAAACTAGTTTTAAATTGCCTTTCTACCACTTTCTTGGCTCTCTACTCGGCGAAATTTTCACTTAGGCCTCGCCGATTTGACTTCTAATCACTTTCTAGCGACAATGTCATAATTTGTGCAATCATTTTTTGGATCATCTTTTACTTGAGAGGAAATGTTTCAAATAAAAAAAGGGTTAGAGAGGGTTGAATATTGGAACAGCTTTGAATATTTCTTGTGACGTATAGTTACTCATAAAAGTCTTCGTAGATGAAGAATGCTCACTGTGCATGTATAATTACAGAATATATAATTATAAGATATGGAAAATATCTATTTTTTTATTTTTACTGTAAACAAATCAAATACCAATCAAACACCAATTATTAGAGTGAAAAGGGCAAACTCAAGATCGTCAAAGTAGTAGCTTTAAAGTGAGACCAAGCGGATTGTCACATGATTTTTTTTTTTTACGAAGCTACAACGGTTCAAAGTATCGACAATTCTTCGCTCTTATTGGTTATTGGCACAGTTATACTCTTTAGTGTAAATATGTTCGGTGATAACACGGGGTTCGAGCGCTTGCAAAACAGCGTTTCACTGTTCGATTTAATTGGACTTGACCGGGTCGGGAGAACGGAACCGAATCGGATAGATAACGCGAACAACGGCCACATTAAAGAAAGAACGAAGGCGAGAGCGAGGTCAAGGTCTCTTTCGGTTCTTCGGTCCCCTAACTTATTAAATCGTTACGTCACGACACGCTGGCCAACGTACGAATCGCACAATCGTCGAATCGGCGTAACCTTCGTTCCCGATTGAAATTCATAGGTGTCGCTTGGCATTCTTTGCTGAGCTAAGTATTTTTCAAGGGGGAAATGTTACATCAGCGCCTACAATATTTTGCCACTTTGTTGATGATAAGTGATTGTTGTTACGCGACACGCGAATAAAAAAATTGTAGGAATATTTGAGGGAAATCAAGATGTTGGCTTTTGAAAATTTTTTGGATTCGGCGGAGATCCAACGTACAGTTAAATTGCTTATGTATCTATGGGAAATATTTACAGAAGCTTAGTAATATGCAAGAATGTATAAAATATATTCTTTCGCTTGTTATAATATCTCGTAGATAAAATAAATTTCTGTTCAGGTTCAGATTCATGAAAACATCAATTTACGTTTGTATCTCAGTTTAAGATATTTTAATCTCGCGAGCCAATTTTGAAACGTAATTACGACACAGTTTTATTTACTTGTGAATAAACAACGTGTACAATGAAACTAATAAAGTGGAAATTCACCGTTCGTTATGTACAGATGAGTAGATTCAGCCGAAAGTCAGACGTATCAATCGGTCAATCGAGCGTTAGCTAAAACTTTCAAGTACAGTTCACATAAACAGAATTTATTTTTGAATACGTAGAAACACATAGAATTAAATATACTTAAACTTGAACTGAAGCTAAGGAGCGAAAAAGTGAGCACAGTGGAACGGTATTTTACGAGATAATCGCTGGGTTATAGAATTATCTGCGAAACATTAAGATTACTGTGGACTTGGGACTGAAGAGAGTCTAATCATCCAATTGAATTCAGTGATTAAAAGAAAGAACAAAAAAAAAAAAAGAAAATTAAACGCTCGATTCTCGGAAAGGACAAAATCGATGTAGCAAATTACGAAGGAGGTAACGTTTAACGATAGACGCTCTA